CCCCCGTCCCCAGGGACAGGCAGGAGCGGGTGCTCCGGGCTCGCTTCCCGGACACAGCCTGCTTCCTCGGAGCGGGGTGTGGAGCTGCAATGTGGGTGTTTCTGCCCTGACCTTCCAGTTTCTCTCTGCAGAGCAACACGGGGAGGCAGAGCCGGGTACCGCCTGGACCGTCCTGTTCCCCTCCAGTGCCAAGTGCTCACCGGGGAGCATCCAGTGAGGCCATGGAGCGGGTCGGCCCCGCGCCGGAGCCCCGGAGGGAGCACGTCAGCGCCCGCCACCTGCGCCTCCAGTGTGCTGTGCGAGAGCGAGGGAGCAGGCCCCGTGCCGCCAGGCTCCTCGTTGCGCCGCGTTCACTGGCTCCGCAGGGATCCGTCGTGCTGTGCCCTAAGGACGTTCCTCTTGATGGCCGAGCTCTGTGCCGGTTGTTCAATAAAACTTGCAAAGGGAGCAAGTGTGGAGCGTGAGCCGCCCATGCGGGCAGTGACTCAGCTCCCACGCCCGCCAGTGAGGAAATGAAACGGAAAGCGGGAAAGCAGAAAAAGCGGGAAAGCAGGTGCTGCGGCAGGGCCGAGGGCAAGGGCAGAGCCGCCATGCCGTGTTGGCTCCGGCTTTGCCCTGCGCCCGGCTGCCAGGAGCAGCCGTGGGCACTAGGAAAGCTGCTGCCACGGGCTCAGACACCCTTGGAGAGCAACCGAGGAAGCAGGAGGAGGCGGGAGGAGGCTTTTGTGCTTCCTTAGGCTGTAGGGTGACTTGGCCAGGGGCCCGACTCCCTGCACCAAGAGCCGCAAGCTGCACTCCTCCCTCGCAAATGCCAGTGGCGGTTCCTGGCCAGGAGCCACGTGCCAGAGCCGCAGCCCAAAGCGCCCCTTTTCGGGCTTGTTTTCTTTGTGTGTTTTGCTCCTGGCGCACGCGGGAGGAGGCTTTTGTGCTTCCTTAGGCTGTAGGGTGACTTGGCCAGGGGCCCGACTCCCTGCACCAAGAGCCGCAAGCTGCACTCCTCCCTCGCAAATGCCAGTGGCGGTTCCTGGCCAGGAGCCACGTGCCAGAGCCGCAGCCCAAAGCGCCCCTTTTCGGGCTTGTTTTCTTTGTGTGTTTTGCTCCTGGCGCACCTGCACGCAGGACTGCATGTTCCCGCTCCGTGCGGTGGTGCCGGTGCTCCCGGGATGCTCCCGTGCAGGGCACAGGTGCAGCCACCCCGTCGGCTCTCCTGCCCTTCCCACAGCTCCCAGCCGATTCCC